GGGTCGGGTCAACCCGAACCCGAAACTGACCCGGTATTATTCAAGTTCGGGTCGACCCGACCCGTTTTTTAAAACGGGTCAATTTTCTAGACCCGAACCCGACCCGCTTCGGGTTCGGGTCAACCCGACCCGACCCGCGGACTTGCGCGGAACGGCCTCGCCGCCGCTGGAATTCGCGCGGAACGGCCTCGCCGCCGCTGGATTTCGCGCGGAACGGACTCACCGCGGCTGGATTTCGCGCGGAACGGCATGAAAAGGCGCCTGGCAGTGGCCCGCGAGTGCGACCGCCGAGGCGTCTGTTGACTTATTAAATAGCCTCATTTAATTATAGGCTCTTGGAAGCTTACAAAAAAAAAAAAAGATCATTCAGGTTTGCCTCTTTTAATTTCTCGGTGAAATAGATATGGCCTACTGATCTTGTGTTCAGTGAAATAGAAAAGTAAGCAAGTTAAAGAACAGAGAAGATGACAGATATTATGACAACTGCATAAGTAACTTTTCCTCTTCTGTACATTTCAAAGGAAATTATTTGCTAATCTCTATCATAGAACAAATAAGCCTATTCATTGGCTTCATTTACTTAAATTCCAAGTTATTGTTTCCAAAGCCCAAACAAAACTTCAGCAAAGTAAAACAAAATGTAGAGAAACATCATACTTAAGAAATCATCTGGTTGTGAAATCTTTAACTAAGATTAAATAAATCTTAGTTAAATGCAGCAAATCGGCAAATTCAAGATGGAAAGTATAGCGGAAGAAGCTCAAGCATTATTATTATTTCACAGAAAATGCAAACCTAGTAATCTGGCAAGTCGGTCCGGGTTGACATTATTGATCAATTTACAAAATTAGGTTGGGTTAGGGTCAACCTGTTTATACCAGGGCCAATTCGGGTTAGACCCGAACTCGACCCGTTGACCTGTTTTGACACCCCTTATACCCAATAAAATAGAAAAAAACTACGCTCTGTTAAGGAACAAGAAATGGGGGTAGCCCACCTTCCAATAAAAAAAGTATTATTAATATTTTGCCAACCATACCATTACTTGAATGAAGATTTGTACATAAAGCATGAATTGAGTATGATAAAATATTTTCATATGCATTTTTGTTTTTAGACATGATATACATACCTTGAAGAAAATGGGTTCATGACATCAACATGTGAGGACTCGGCTCGTAGAAGAAAAATGGGCTCATGACATCAACATGTGAGGACTCAAGTCATATGGAGGAGAGTTCAGTAATTGGACAGACAACCAGTTGTTGGGATGATGGAATGGCCAGGTCAGTGGTGGCTTTAAGGGAAGAAAGTGTTGGCCAGCGACAACTAGGTAGATGGCCAATTGCTGGTCAGTGAAACAGTGCAAGGTAGTGATAGCTTGAGTGCAAACTATTGGCGGCTAGGCGAATGAGGTGGTGGTTGTGCCGCCCGATTGTCATCATCAGACCACCACCAAATCATAGCTGTCTGACCATATCAACCACAACCATATGAACACATTTCATCATATTCTAACTTTGTCATATTTTCTATCAGTTTTTCCTACTCTTGTAATGTTGTCATCTCTAAGTTGAGGGACAACAAAAATTTGTAATCAGTGATCATATAGTAGAATCATTTTAGCTACCAAATCTTAAATTTTTTTTTTTGAGTTTTTTCACGTAAAAATTCTAATGTCACTCATGATATTTTTATTTTCCTGTTTATGCGTTGAATCTTCATACATTGGTAGAATATATAACTCTCTTACTCTACTACTATAAAATTTATATCCCACAATAAGCATATTTTTTATATCTTATGGAAAAAAAGGAAGAGAGGATTAAAACTTGGACTAAAGAAAAGGAAAAAAAAAAAAAACATTAGAAAAATTCTTCAAATTAAAAGCTAAGAAAGAACAGTATATATGTTTTAATTTAATATACATATATAAATTCTTCAAGCGAGTTTATATTTATTATTGATAGAATGTTTTATATAAATAATAATTTTAATTGATGATTGTTGCGTCCTGGAGTATTCGCGACGGTTGAAAAATATATAGTTTAACGTCTTAGCATTGTACGAAGATCCGGCACACAATCAGATAAGAGAGAGGGAGTAGCATTCATAAGAGACATCAGAGTTTTTATGTGGAAACCCCTGAAAAGGGGGGAAAATCACAGGGTTTGACCCAATTTGAAAGAATCCACTAGTATTTGCAGTCGATTACAAATGAGGCCCTTCTTAGGGAGTAGGCCTTGGCTTGATGGTACAAATGTACATCATATAGAGCGCATTACATGTTGGGAGTTACAATAATCAACATAGACATGTTTGTTTGGTTGGAAGGGCCATAGTCAGCACAAGACATCGGTCTAAAAGATCATAGTAGACAGGAAACCGGGGTCAGAAAGATCGTTGTCTATTGATAGAGGTCGGAAGGACCATAATCGGCAGGAGACATGGGTCCGAAAGACCGTAGTTGGCAGGAGACCGGGGTCTGAAAGACCATTGCTTTGTGATGGAGGTCAGAATGATCATAGTAGGCGACGAAGGTCGGAAGGACCGTAGTCGACAGGAGATCAGGGTCTCAAAGACCATTGTCTGGTGATGGAGATCAGAATGATCATAGTAAGCGACAGAGGTCGGAAGGACCGTAGTTGGCAGGAGATCGGGGTCTTAAAGACCGTAGTTGGTAGGATACTGGGGTCTGAAAGACCATTGTCTGGTGGTGGAGGTGGGAATGACTATAGTAGGCGATGAAGGTCACAAGGACCGTAGTTAGCATGAGACTGGGGTCTGAAAGACCGTAGTTGGTAGGATATCGTGGTATAAAAGACCATTGTCTGGTGATGGAGGTCGAAATGACCATAGTACGCAATGGAGGTCAGAAGGATTGTAGTTGACAGGAGACCGGAGTCTGAAAGACGTTAGTAGAAGGATGGTATTTTGGGAGAACTCTAGGAATCAAGTGGTGGCTCGACAGAAGTTTGGGCCTCAAGTGATGGTCTAACAGAAGTTTAGGCCTCCCGTGGTAGTCCAGCAAAAATTCGGGCATCAAGTGGTGATCCGGCGAAAGTCCGGGCCTCAGGTGGTGGTCTGGAGGAGCTCAGGGTCTTAGGTGGAGGTCCGGTAGAGCAATGATGTCTGGTGGTGGTTCGACGAAGGTGAGGGCCTCAAGTCGTGGTCCGGCGGAGCTCAGGGCCTCAGGTGGTGGTCCGGCGGAGCAATCACATCAGGCGGTGGTCCGGCAGAGGTGAGGGACTCATGTGGTGGTCCGGCAGACCTCAGGGCCTCAGGTGGTGGTCCAGCGGAGCAACGAAGTCAGACGGTGGTCCGACGGAGGTGAGGGCCTCAAGTGGTGATCCGGCAGAGCTCAGGACCTTGAGTGGTGGTCTGACAGAGCAACAACGTCAGGCGGTGGTTCGGAGTAGGTGAGGGCCTCAAGTGGTGGTCCGGCATAGCTTAGGGCCTCAGGTGGTGGTCCGGTGGAGCAACGACGTCAGGCGGTGGTCCGACGGAGGTGAGGACCTCAAGTGGTGGTCCGGCGGAGCTCAAGGCCTCAGGTGGTGGTCTGATGGAGCAACGATGTCAAGCGGTGGTCCGGTGGAGGTGAGGGCCTCAAGTGGTGGTCTAGCGGAGCTCAGGGTCTCATGTGGTGGTCCGGCGAAGCAATGACGTCAGGCGGTGGTCCGGCGAAGGTGAGGGCCTCAAGTGGTGGTTTAATTGAGCTGAGGGCCTCAAGTGGTGGTCCGGTGGAGCAACGACATCAGGCGGTGGTCCGATAGAGCTCAGGACCTCAGGTGGTTGTCCGGCGGAGCAACGACGTCACGCGGTGGTCTGGCGGAGGTGAGGGCCTCAAGTGGTGGTCTGGCGGAAATCTGGAGGTGGTCGTGGAGGAGCTTCTTCCTTCTCTTCTTCAATCTTATCTTCTTGATTGGAGCTCCCTTTTCAAGAGAAAGGGGGGATCTATTTATAGATTTATGGAGTGGCATGACTCGTAAATAGGTGAGAGATCAAGGGTAAATGGGGAGTGGTTGGATGGACGGCCGATATTGAATCCCTTGATCGTGGATCATTCGTCAGAAATTTGAAAGTCTTAATGATGTTGGAATTTGGCGATCTTGGGCTCATTGGATTTTTCTCGTCGAGCCGCTCGATTCGACTAGAAGCACATAATGTTTGGAAACCATTTGGTAATCCAAATTGTGGTTTGAACCTTTCAACAACGCTTTTGGTCCTTGATTTGGACTCATTTGGGCTTGGATTGAGTCGAATTTGGTGTCGTTGGGTTCGTATTTCGTAAACGTTCATTTTGAGTGTAAGTTTGCTGAAATCGGAGTTCAGATGGTCCCAATTTTAATTTTGGTAATTTCCAACTTAATTTTTCATCAAGTTTTGTGTCCGAACAAGATAATTAATTGATGACGCATCAATGATTAACCATAATTTATTTGAATTTACTTGAAACTCAATTTGAATATAAATCTCGACATATTTTAAATTTTAAATTTTTATTTAAATCACTTTATTTGATTTGAACACCAAATTTTAAATTAGATTTGACTATTCGAGGAGAATGTGTTTCCGTGAATTCGCTTGAAGATGATTGAATGGATTTTAATATGATTTTTAAGATTTAAATATTTTCCGTATGAATTTCACCGTAGATATATTTTAAAAATAAAAAAACTAGAAATTTCTAAATTGCCTTTAAGCTTTACCCCGCCTATTTATGCGGTGTCGAGTCTATCTATTGGCATTTCTGCACGCCAGACCCCACATCTTTAGTCTCACCCGCGGTACATCAGAAACCTTTTTGCACAGTGGCAGTCTCGTGAATACTGCGCAGTGCGCACGACCCTACCCTGCAGGTTCTCCGGCACGTTAAGCGACCTTCTAACCTCCATCTCCCACCTCTTCCCCCAGCTTCTCCGGCATCCGGTGCCGATGCCGATGCCGATGCCGCTGCCGCTTCCGATTCCTACGGAGGAGCCCGAGGATCCTTCATCATCTTCTCTTCCTCCAGCGAATTATCCTCCACCAAGCCCCATTCAACTCCTTCCTGACGACACCCTTCACCACATATTCGCCTGTCTACCCCTTCGTGAAACCCTTGCGTCCCGCTCCGTGTGCCGTCACTTCCACGACGCCCTCTCCTCTCCTTCTTTCCTCTCCCTCCTGCCTCCTCTCCCCCTCCTTGCTCTTCGCCATCCCCGCCATCACCATCACAACTATCATCTTCCGCCTTCTCTCCTCGCTTTCGACCCTTCCTCTTCTCGTTGGCTCCGTCTCTCTCTTTCCTTTGTCCCGTTCGCCTCTCTCTCACCCGTTACCGCCTCATCTTCTCTTCTCTACCTCTGGGCCGATCCCTCTCCTTCCTCCTCTTCTTCTGATTCGAAGCCTCCTAAATCACTGATCCTTTGCAATCCCCTCACCCGATCCTTCCGTATTTTACCCCCTCTCGGATCCGCATGGTCGCGCCACGGCACCGTTCTCGCCGCCCCGGCTATCGCTGGCAGCGCCGTTCTCGTCCTCACTGAGCTCGCCGCTTTATCTTACTCACCCGGCGCTGCTTCGTGGCGGAAGTTCTCTCTCAATTTGCCCTCCAAACCTCGCAGTCCCGTCATCATCGGGGCGTCGATCTACGCCCTCTGCGATACCGGCAACCCCTGGCGTAGTCAGTGGAAGCTCTTTTCATGCGCCATCGATGATCTCGGGGGTCCCCGAGGGTGGGCTCAACTAGAGCGCCACGAGTGGGGCGATGTCTTCGATATCCTTAAACGGCCCCGGCTGGTCCGCGGCGCCGGGACCAGCAGGATCTTGATGATTGGTGGTTTGAGGTCTTCCTTTGCAGTGGATGCTCCGTGCTCGACGGTGCTGATACTGAGGTTGGATTTGGGGACCTTGGAGTGGGAAGAGGCCGGTAGGATGCCGCCGGAGATGTACCGGTGCTTTGCTGGAGTTGGTGGGCAAAGAACAGCGGCCGCTACGGCTAATGCTGCGGGGAATAATAAGGTGAAGGTTTTTGGAGGAGAGGGGAGGGTTTGGTTTTCTGGGAAGAGAGTGAGGGGCAAAATGGCGATGTGGGAGGAAGAGGAGGAGGTGGAGAAATGCCCTGGAGTTGGAGGTACATGGAAATGGGTGGATGGGGCGCCGGGTTATGGCGATGTGGTGTACAGGGGATTCGTGTTCGATGCTGCAGCTAATGAGATTTCATGACTGATCCGTGGTGGTATGTTCTGCAACTTTTCTTATCATGTGAGGTTAGATATCAGACATTTGATTGCTTGCTTCCTAGCTTGTCCGTTAATTTTTGTGATGGCGTCACGTTAATCTATTCTGAACTTTTCTTTGGAAAGGGCGCCTGGAAATAAGAGGCTTTTCTCCGCATTTTTACGCACTCTGGTCTCTGGTTCTAAATATCTCGAGCAATCTAAAACTTCTGCTGTGAATGTGGATTCTAGATAGGATCTTATTGCTAGTTGTGTTTGATGCTTGTTAATATTTCTCCTGAAATAAGATTCGTCTTTTTTGCTTTATTTGTGAGAGGTGTTGTTGATTTTAGCTTTCCGTATATTCCTTAGCTTACATGCCCCTCCATGATTAGTCGCTGCTATCCACCTCATTCAAGTTTAGCTTGTAAGATCTTAGGAAGCTGTCAGATATTCAGACATGATATTTGCTTAATTCATATAAAAGTCTCCAAATTTTGAGCCTTTTTGTAAAGGGCCTTATTTTAGAGACTTAATGAAAATGTCCTCATTATTAATCCAAGATCACACTAAATGAATACTCTTTCATTAAATATTCTTTAATTAAGCTCATCATATAACCTCAACAATTATTGGCGAAGCCAAATGCAAAATAAATTCATAACTACTCTATAAATAAAAATCTTATTAGGACTATCTTGAAACTACTATATACTTCTTAATTCATTAATGGGCAAAGCCACATAGGGCAATCAATTTTGACTAGTCTGTTCTTGCAAGAATTAATCGTATTTTGTAGGTTGAGTTTTATGTTGTTTTTTCAATGATAAAATAAGTTTTTGATACTCCAAATCATTACTGTTGGGATGAGATCTTACCTTATCTCAACTCCTAATGACCAAGTACTTCCCTTTGCTTCCATTTGTCCTTTTTGCCTTCTATTTTGATTGGACAATGTCTTGGATATTTGAATTTGAACTTGCGTCCATTTTTTGGGCAGTCTATTTTTCTTTATGTGGCTTCATTTCATCTATAAATAAGATCCGAATCCCTTCTTTTTGACCAAATCTCACTTTCCCTTAATTTCTGTTGGTTAAGAGCTTTCTAAAGACTATTGTTATCTTATTTGAGGCAGTATACCATTGGTTGCTTGAATCGTGCATTGAATATTATGTGATTAATTTGAAAATTTTCCTGACCATTCTTCAATTCAATCTTTGGCTCTAAATGGGCTTCCTTGAGTCTATAAACATCACCATTTATTTTAATAATTGAGCCCTCATGCCGTATGATAAACTCTATGCCCTATGTTGCTCTTTAAGCTTCTACTTTCCAAATGTTTTTTCATCTAGCTATTTTAGCTTTCTCTTGGAAAACTTGCTTTCCGTAACACATATGATCTTTTAAACTTAGTTTTTATTTTGATGTTATTCTTTAATTGTTGCTCCCAAGCTTTATAAAGCTCTTCTTCTTTACCCAAGCTTCTGGTGGTAAAGTTCTCCATTGCTTTGAACTTTCACTTGGTTAAACCTCAATTGAGGTGTAAATTAAAAGTGGTTGAGCTCTTTTGAATGTTGGTTCTTCTTGTAGATCCCCATGAAAGAAGTCGTTCTTCACATAATATTATCGAAGTGGGCTACCAAAGATAACACAAAGTTCATATATTCTCATATTTGCCACTGCGATACATATCTTATGTAGTCAAATTTATATCTATGTGTAAATTAATCTCACTTTATATCTTTCAATAAAGCTATCAACCTTATACTTCAAAGTAAGAGCGCATTTGTTGCCTACTATATTTTTTGACTAAGCTTATTGGCAATCTTATATGTGATGTTTTTTCTACAATGCATCCATCTTCTCTTAAATAACATTTCTTCATTCTTGTTTTAATAATGCCTCTGATAAAGTGCTTGGAGAAGGAAGGCATTTAAGTTCATAATGAAAATTTTATTTAGAGGAGAAAGACATTTAACTAATATGTGCAAACATAATGGATATAAATGTTGCATTATGCAACTTCTAGTAGCTTTTTAATAATAATAGAAAAATCAATGGCTGCTTCATCAGAAGATCAATACTTATCATGTCTTTATTAATAGTTTCTGAGATGATATTTTGAGCTTGTGTTAGGTCTAGTACTACTCTTATTCTTGAGTATACCCGAGGGAATCTCATAGAGTCATAAATCAAGACAAATTTTTGTTGACAAGAGTAGACACAAATTTTCGGTTGGGTTGGGGAGGAACATTTGTATCCTTTTTGTGTAATAAAGTAGCCAAGAAATAAACACTTACTAGCTTTGAGGTCCAATTTTTTTTTTATTTTAAATATGAATATTAACAAAAGAGGTATACCCAAATATTTAATATGTAAGGCCATTAGACGGTTTGACCTAGGCATAGAATTTGGCAAGACACTCCATGGGGGATTCATATTCTAAGGTTTGTGAAGGTAGTCTATTTATCATGTAATTTGTAGTGATTATAGCTTACCTACAATAGGTTTTAGGAATATTCCCTTGAAAATATATTACCTAAGTGATATTAAGTGTCTATTTTTCTTTTTAGCAACTCAATTTTGTTTTTGGTATATGAACACATGCTGACTCATGAATTATATGATCTCTTTGGAAGTAATAGATTGTACGGGATTAAAAAATTGATTGAAGTATTTGTTTCTATTATCAAACCTGAATTTTTTTATTTGATTCTAAATTGATTTTGAACATTGAATGAAAAGTAGGAACAATATTGCTCATATAAGAGTTTTGTATTTGATTAAGAATATCCATGTGACTTTATTATATATGTACAATCATTAATTAGAGAAACGAACCATCACAAAAACATTTGGAACTGTGAGTGGTCCCAATTGCCACTATAGACTAATTGAAAAGGATGAGAACTTCTTCTATTAGACTATTACTAGCATGAAAGGATTCACAAGTGTACTTTGTAATTTCGCAAGTTTGGCAATGAAATTTTGTGATATTAAACCCTTTGAAAAGAAAGGTAAATATTATATTTAAATGTTTAAAATATGGATGGCCTAGAAGAAAGTGATGAAGCGAAATTGTCTTTTTTTGAAGAATCAAGAGATGATAAAGATATATTAATCATGACCCTATTTGAAGCACTTGATGTTTTTAGGCAGTAGTGCCCATCACTTTTTTTAGTCACATATTCTTCCTCAAATCTTGGTCCAAAAAAAATATAATAAGAAGGATGGAACATTGCATAACATTTTAGATCTTTTCTAAATTTTTGAAATGAAACTGTTTAGATGATAATTTTGGCATATCAAGGATATTTTTAAGGGGTAAAGAAGGTGTGACTTGGATATTGCTCAACCTTATAATTGTAGCAAGAGAATCATATGAAGTATAAGATTTGAAATATTGACAGATGTAGGTGTGATTTGTGACATTTGAGTCAAATCCAAAGAATTGATCAAGAACTTTCTTGTGGCATGTAGTTTATTAGATATTGAGGCCTATCTAAGTGTGCGAATGAGCATGCAACACAACACTATAAAGATTCTTGTCAAGGGAGTTGAAGAGATCTACTCAAGTGAAGGTGTACTCTTCTTCCCTCTCGAGAATTTGAATTTGACCAAATTTAGGATTGATTCTAAAAAGAAATTCATATACTTGGTCCTTCTCAATGTAGTTTTTTTTAAGATGGCATCATATTGGCATTTTATTTCAAATACATGATAGTGATCTATCTATTGACATATACTTTTAACAAACGACATATTAAGTTACCATTTTTTTCTTTTTGTTTTACTCCTTTCGTCTTCATCTTGATCTCATAAACTTAGGTTACATCACAAGCTTTTATGTAAGTGCACGAATAGAGTCCCACATCTCTTTAGCAATAGTCACGAACATGCAAGTATACTAATTGATTAGATCCATCAAGTTAAATAGTCATGCCATAATTAGGTAGTAAGCTACATCCCATGCTTCAAACATTGGATAACCTCTTTGGTCATGTCCTTAGAAGATGTTCAAGTCTCCCTTTTCCCCTTTAAATATGCCTTAACAAATTGTGATCAGTTGATCAATCAATAAATAGGCTTGATGTTTTGCAAATGTGCAATCACTTAATGAGAGTTGACTTTATCATGTTGGACATCGGTTTCTTATGTTTCCATAGATATAATTCAATAGGATTAAAAAAAGGAAGTTATAAGGGCTATTGGTGAGGTTGAAGGATACGACAACGATGATAAAGGCCTAAGAATGTAGATTCTAGCAAATGTAAGAAATTTTGAAGCAATGAGATAGAGTGGTTGCAATCGCAATAATGAAGGCTACAACAACTCCAAGGGGGGAGGTGAGAGGAGCTCGATGCTAAGAAGCAATCAAGCATAGGTCAATGCCAACAAAAATTATCAAGCAAAGATCAATAACAATAACAAAGTTAAATGTCAGCAATGAAATCGTGGAGTAGAGAAGAAATCTAATGGAGAAATTTGATCCTGGCAAAATCAAAGTTGGGGATATAGCAAAAGAATCATGTTGAGCAGGGATTGGTGTAGCATTACAACATTGAGCAGAAGTTAGGATTGCTGATGAGACATAAGATATTGTTGAGTTACTAGAATTTCTGGGCCTTAACAGTAGGCAATGATAGTTGTAATGTTAAATGGTGAAGAGAGATGCAAATTAGAAGAGTCTAGAGCTCTGATGCCACATGAAGACACATGAAGAATAAGACGTCTTTCTTATTCTTCTAAGTATATGATAAAAGGCAATATATAGATTGTTCTAGGAAAAAAATTAAGAAAATAGTCTATATTAAAATTAAAAAAAAAATCTACAACATGCTTGTCAATGGAAAATAACAAATCACAATGCAAAAGTTCCCATGAAGTCATAGCGGATAGCACACGATGTAGTGTGTGCTATTTTAATTATGAGAAAATATAGATAAAACTGCTGCTAAATATGAAGTACTTTTTATTGAAAAATAAATTATTTATGGTAATGAAAATAGGTAAATTGACACTTCAGCTCAAGTCTTCAACAACTCTAAATT